TGCTGTTGATGATGTCCTGCGTTGTAGCCAATAGGATAGACTTTGTCTTGTAGAGGGGACATGGAGGCCATATGACGAAATATCCTGATTAGTTGAGGCGTCAGTATAAAAATGAAAATGCCGAGTGTAATGCTGGGCTGAGTAGAAGAGAGTATTCTGCAACAGTGCGGTCAGTGCAAAACGTCTCTTACTTCATTGATGCCTGGTACACAGGGTTTAATATCAAGAGTTGAAAGCGTCCAGAGACGAAATCATGAAGGCATTACCTTCTTCCGCTGTCTAATAGCAGTAAGTTGCTACATTTGTACAGCTTGGCCCTATGCTGAATTGCTATTGGTAAAATATGCGCAGTACAGAAAATGCTTGTTCCTACGTAAGGCATGGCGGAAATAAGGGCCGAATATATTATCTTGGGTTCAGATGACATCTAGCAGGAGACATCCTGCTTCCGCTACAGTTACTGAGGCTGATGAGATCTTCAGAAGACCTGGGCCGATCCGTAGGCAATTGTTTTGTGCGGCTTATAAAGTTCTCTTGTTTGCTGGTGATAATCGGTAAAGCACCGGTAGGAAATAACGCAAGGTTCCTTCGACGTGCGCTTTCTTAAGCAAGACCATTGATCTGCACACACATGCCCATTGCATTCCCGCCATGAATTTAAAGAGTTGTGATGCTGCATCTATTCTCGCTAGAAGTTTCTTCACCTGAGGAGACCAGGAGAGACTCCTGTCATTGATTATTCCAAGAAATTGCTGAGACCATACATAGGTTAGTGGCTGGCCACCCAGGAGGAGTGGATATTTGGTCATTGCCTTTCTCGTGAGAGCTATGGCTGTACTCTTTTCTGGAAAAAAATGCGTATCCTTGGGAGCCAAATACATAAAGAGGTTCCGTAAAGCTCTTTGAAGGCATTGTATGGTAACAAAACGCGAAATTGGAGCCCTCCGGATAGAGATGTTGTCGGCGTAAACTGTAGTGCGCACTCCTCGCGGCAACATGTTCGTTACATGTATCAGGGTGATGTCAAAAAGAACTAAGCACTTCACCCTGGGGTACGCCCTTTTCCACTGCGTAGAACTGCGTTGGACTATCTGAAGTGCACATATATATGTTGCATTCTTGTAAATAGCTCTCAATCTATTTTTAAAGTCTTACTCGAAGGCCAAGACTGCAAGAATGGTATGGTGAAAGATGGAGTCAAAAGCTGCTTTGATGACGAGAAAGGTAGGTATTGGGATGCGTCCAGCAAAGAGGGCCTCTTCGAGTGAAGAGACGAGGGCTGATGACATAATCGGTTGCTGATCTGCCTCAGCGGAATCTGTTTAATTCTTCGACAAATTTGTCGTGGCTTTCTAGAAGCCAAGTAAGTCGTTTGCGAACCATCCGCTCCATAAGCTTGCCAACGCAACTCAGCTGGGCGATGAGCCGGAAAAAGGCGTAGCTTGTTGGCTGCTTTGCAGGTTTCAAAATGGGGATATTTTAGCGAGTTACCTTTCTGTGAGAACCAGGCACCAAAATAGCATTCAACTTAAATTAGGGACAACGCCGCGAGCAATGAAAGGCTAATAAAAGTTATACCCTCAAGAGACAAAAGGACAGCAAAGTGAGGTGCTATATCCTTATGCCGTGCTTTTATATTGTTTTATATTGTAGTTTAAATCAAGAAGAAGTGGATGTGGGACAGGAACGAACTGCATAGATGGGATAATCACTCATTAAGGGCAACTGACTGCATTCCCAGAGGAGAAAACCAACTAAAAGAAGAGAGTTATGTGGGTGGCCAATAAGGTTACAAGTTCGCAGGTATAACGTGGTAGTAAAAATCCAAGACCGGGTAATGGGAGAGGCCTTTGCCCAGCAGTGCATGTAGTCTGGCTCATGGTGATGATGATAAATATAGGTACGGCACTGCACCTCGAGCAATAAAATAACAAGCCCATACTTTGCTTGGAATGATCATCTTTTAGTTTTAAAAAGGGTTACATAACATGGAATTATTAAGTATGAATTCGTCTTCCCAGAAAAATCTAGGAACTAATCAGCTTCTCTGTGCCAGCTGAAAAGCATCTGATGAATTCGCAAACCCTTATGAATATTACGCCCGCTAGTTTTTTTTATTTTTCAAATCTTTTCCTAAATATAAAAGATACTTCTGAATCTTAAAAAAAACCCAGCATCGCGCGTACAAAGCAAAATTACACTAAAACTTCTAACTAACGTTGGTATTTGTTGGATGTGTTCAGTACTAGCGCAAGCAGTATTTTTAATAATTAACCACTCTTGATAACTCCGCGTAGTATTTACACAATGCCATTCTTTGAAACAGACCAACGTTCAGAATAAAAATGAGTGCTGAGCAACCAATTTTTTCAAATGATAGTACGGACGTCACAAGGAAGCTTCGGTCACATTAACCTGGGAGTCCACCAGCTGTGGCTTTGCCATTCGTTGTGAACGAAGCAAAAGCGTGGATAACGAAACGCTAATTAAAACAAAAGTGCCACCATGGTCAGTCCCTGCACTTGTTTTTCCAGACCACATTCAGAGCAGCTGTTACCTTGAGCTGAGCACAGGTGTAATGCCGCGCGCATGCGTCAGACGAAAGTAGAAAGATCTAGCCTAATATCCGGAAAACACTCCAAAACACATTGATTTGCGCAAAACTTAAGTGACAAAAATTCTGCCAGCAACCACAATAACTTAAAAATACACCTACAATTAAAGATTGGACCACCTAAGCGTGCAAACAAACGTTACAGTGGAAGCACCAAGGAAACTAAAACATAGAGAGTGTTTACGCGCACAACCTCCGGGAGGAAGCATACAGCCAGCGTTCCGTTCAGTGGAAGCGCCCCTCAGAGCTCTGATCACTGTTTTACGATTACAAATTTTCTGCATTGGCTTCTATGAAAATATTTAGAGCAAATGTACAATAACACGCTCGTGTGTCCATTAGACGCTCCTTATAGAACGCCGAAGTGTAGCTTACGCCGCCATCTGTATGACAAGCGTGGTTGCGCGCTCTAAGCGGCAGCGGCTGTAGTTAAAAGGAATGCAACGTGCGAGGTCTTCGTACGGTAGTGGTTTATCCAGCTGTGCAACATCACCATAGCGTACGCTCATTATAGTCTGAAATTGTTTAGTTGCGGCGTTTTAGAGCCAGTAGGCTATGTTCTGGTGTTTGCTTCTCAGGTAAGTCTATATCAACTATATATGTCGCTTCAATTTTGTGAAAAAATTATGTCCGTTAGCTTGAACACGACTCAGAGGCTCATTGATTAGACTTCAAAACCCTATGTGTAGCACTGCGTACGTGAGAATAATGTACACAAGGTGTACAAAATCTGCCATAGTGTAGTAAACAACCTTCTCTCCATTCCCACTCTTTCTTCATAGCAGAGCCCTCAGCTTCGTAGCCGCTGGTACTGCAAGAGGGAGTGGATGACCTTTGCACTTCACAAGGCAGGCATCCACTTGAAACTGCTGCGACGTGACTGGACTGAGCCGATAGTGCATAGCACCGCTACTGCTTTTAGAACCCCGCTGTTGAAAGCTGGTAGCGCTTGAAACTTTGGAACTTTATTATTTCAACATTCCATCATTTGGGATGCTGAAGACCGGGGTCAAAAAGCCTCTTCACGGGCTTTATTGGAACCACGACCCCGTACAAAATGTCAGGAATCGGCGAGTGTAGAGTTCAATACAATAAAGTATGAAGTGAAAATCAACATAAGCTCAAACTTCATCACGTGTAAACAGAAAAATAGCTCAGTGAACTTTGAAAAAAAATTCGCAACACTGTCATAGTTTCAGTGAAATAGTTATGGTATAACATGAATAAGAGCACTATGTCGCTCAAATAAACATCTAACCAGTATATACATACGTAAGTATATGTACAGATAAAAAGTGAGACGTATAAACAACGTATAAACCACTATTTCACCAAAAGTCAACAAGATGTGTCATTGCCACTAAACATCGATGGCGGTGCATACAAGACCACTAACACTATGACTGGCAAACACCAACACACAATGTGTCTGCTCTTAGACAGCAATATACAAGAAACAATGCACTTTTTTATGACACAATTCACTTCTGTGTTAAAGTGGCTCCCATGACGGATAACTCAACCCTGCTATATCACAGATGATATTATCTTTTTGTATACTCAAACGAAAAAACTATGGTCTCTCTCCCTCTTTCTATATGTATTTCACAATATTCCGCCACCAGGCCATAGTTTAAGCACGTGCTGAACTTGAAGCCGCATTTAACTTGTGGCAAAACTCATACTTTTCAATATTGTCGACTAAAAGCACTTATTGTGCAGTTGTGAGCCGCAGCGCGAATCCGTAAATATACGTAGTGCATTCATTCACTAGAAAATACATGGATACGTAATTATACAAATCGTTGTGTTTCTGAACCTACGCAGAAAATGCAACGCTATGCATGAAAACTAGGTGCCGAGAATACGGTGCTGCCAGCTGGCAGTAGCGCTGCTTTCTGCAAAACTTTATGTTTCCCGACACCACTGCCACACGGCATCTATATCCCATGCAGCGCTTCCTCAATTTTGTCAATGCCATCTAGATGCGGCCCCTTCAACATAGAGAAAGTGCTGTCTGAGGCAAGGCAAAACATAAACGACTGCCTAATGAACTGCGAGCCACTCTACAAAACATGCCCCAGAATTCATAGGGTATGGGTGGCAGATAACTGTGGTCTTTCGATGACATTTTCAGCAGAACCCATAGATACGTGGCCATTTTTTTTCTTCTAGCGATCATAACATGAATATTTGGGATTTCTTCAGCCGTAGATCGGTTTCTGTGACTTAAGCTTATCACATGAACTGAATATATCAACTGATTAAACGTATGTGTGCATTGCACTAGCTTCCGCTAGTTCAGTTAGCAAAGCCAAAAATATGTTTTCATCTTGTTTAATGACTTGTTTTTTTCTCATTCGCTTTTCAAGTGCCACGACATGCTTGCGCCTAGGAGCATCGCACCCAGAGCGTGTGAGCAAAGCTTCGATGCCCCCACATATAATATTCATCTTGGCAGATGATCTTGTGAGTACATTGACCATTATCACTCTTCGCTGAAGCTATGATAATTGCTAGCAGTGTTTTAACCACAAAACCTAAACGGCGGGGCCATAATCACAAATGCATCAAAAGTTGTGTGTTCTGAGTTGCACTTTAGGAGCGTTATGTGAGAAAATAGATGCTTCTTGTGCTGGCAACGGTTCGTGTAATGAAAAGCCTCGGTAATCTTTGAGCATTCTTTTTAAAAACTCACTTACTGTTTGAACGTAAACAGTTCAGCGGGACCTATTTTTTGTACACTATGCCGCAACCTTCACACCCTTCGCCATGTGTCTTGGAACAGCTTTATTGAATATAGTACCACTTGGCTTTTGGTTCTGCTGCCGAGATCATACTCATGCATGCCGACATACTATCCAAGCATATTGAGGTGTCATTTCGGCAACGGTACCCAGAACTAGTCCAAGTCACGCGTCGGAGCATTCATGTTAACCTGGTGACGACTGCACGTCATGTACTTCCATCGTACGTGAACGATGTAAGCGCAGGCACGCACAGATGGTAATCATGTGGGATCCGGTCGGAAGACTGCTGTGTACCCCAATGACTCTTATAGGCTCCGGCTAATAAGCCTTGGTTTGATTGGGACAACGCATTAAAAACTGCGACCCGTCTCTTTGAGGCTCGATGTGTTTATCCTCTTGGCCATTACGCATTAGTTTTTGTGGCTGTGCGCACATTTGGCAGTGCGCTCATTTTGGAGGTGCTTCAGTGTCACAAAAGCTTTGAAATCTCTCACGAGATGGCGCAAAGATTTCACCGGTATGTTTCTTGTGCCCCATCGCGCTGCATGCATGGATATAGTACATCGAGGGAATCCAGAAGCTGACTTTCTTGCGGCATAGTTTAGGTGCCTTCAGAGAAACGAAGCTAGGCTAGTGGTCGCAAAGGCAATAAGAGCCCGGTAACATTAAGCTATCGTTTTCTACTGTTGAAATCGATACTTGGACATTCTCCATCGTACGTATTGTTTACTTGGTGATTATCATTATTCTTAAGTTTTTGTTAATTGTGAACAGGGTGAAACAAACTCTTTCACCCTCAACTTAGTGCTTATTATCATGTCTATGGTATAGGCACAAAAACTTTCAGCGTGATATTGCTACGCAGATCGCTGTATGCAATGCAGGCATTGAAAACTGGACAGCATCATCGCAACAGGGGAAGTCAGCCACTGTGTACCTGTAGCCATAATTTTCCATATTCAATACTCATTATAAATACTCTGACGCTAGTGTCCATCGGCACCGCAACACAGGCATCTTAAGCCATCATGACATTGGTGGGTAGCACACGGATTTGTCTCAACTTCGTCTGGCTCTTTGTGGCCTGAACCTAATTTTCTACAAGAGAAAGATCAGGGAATTTTCAGCAGTGTCACTTTGAGACCTCATCTTCTGAAGATCATTAATTCTAATTATTTAACGAAGCTCGCAAGGACTCGTTGTTTTCTCTAAAACAAGCGCCCAAACGCTAAAACAGAACAATAAACGAAGTCGCAAGCGCATTAGAAGCTGCAAGCACGAAGGTTAGGCAAATCTTCGCACTACCCATTATTTTCATATTGGCAGGACGATACCAGTACCAGAGCTTCTTCTGGGTAATGGTAGGTAACTCTATGGCTGCATCCCTGCTGCGACAATCTTTCGTTTATTTTAGGACACCTGTGGTTCTGTTTTAGTCTGTTTTTATTATCAATGCTTCTTCGTAAACTTTGCTACAATATACACTCATTGCTTACAGCCATCGCTACCTTTTCGTATTTCTTCTCTTTCATTTCTCAAAGTTTATTATTTCACATTATCGGGGATCAAGAGGTGTTGAACTATTCTCTATAGCCTTCTGTAGTTAGCAGCTTGCGCCACAGCATGTATCATATTCGTAAAGTGGTGCCGCCTTCAAGCACCCATACTATTCGATGTCTTATTTACTACAGTATATGTTGCGGCAGAGACGAGACCGACACCCGTGTTGCCCTGGTTGAACGCTTTGTTCTTTCTTTATTGCGTGCTCACGTTCCCAGCACCCTGCGCTCGCTTCTTCGCGTGTCTGGTGCGCAGCGTAGCGTTTCCCACCAACATTTTTCTATGGTAAACTTAACATCCTCCAGGGGCCGTGGCATGGTCCCTTGCCTCCAAAGGGTTCAACCGTTGAGCGGTGCGATGACCCTGCGGGCGTTGAGGAAGGCAATCTTGAAGTACCTCTCGAGGCCCTCTCTGTCTGGAAACACCTCGACTACTCTGCCAAGCTTCCATTGCAGCGCTGACACGTTGTCGTCTCTAACAACCACCAAGTCACCGACGTGCAGCTGGGATGAAGACGACGGCTGGCAGTGATGAGCAGAGCGCAAGAGAAGTAAATATTCCTTCTCCAACCGTGTCCACAATCGGTGCAGAAGCTTGTCTGTGCGTCTCACCCTCCTTCGCAATTCATGGGCAGTGGAATCAGGCAAACTGCCGCTTATGCTTGCTCGTAATTCCACAACACGCTTGCCGGTTAAGAAATGCGATGGCGTCAGTGCCTGTGCATTCTCGGCTTGCTCGCAGAGTTGGATCAGAGGGTGGCAGTTAATGATCGCTTCCACCTCCACCGGCCCAGTGATAAGCTTTTCGTAACTGAGGCTGCTTCGTTCAAGGCAGTGCTTGAGCGCATCCTAAATTGTCCACATGACTCGCTCCCAGAAACCTCCCAATCACGGGGCTCGTTTGGCGATGAACTTTCATCAGATTTTATGAGTACTTGCGTGGTTTTGCACAGTCTCGCTGAGCAGGAATAGCAGTTGCTTGGAACAGCTGCGGAAGGTCTTGGCGTTATTCAAATGAACGGTAGATGGGACGCCCCTCCTTGACGTAAATCGGCGAAAGGCAAAAAATAATGAGTGGGCTGTCATGCCCGAGGTTAATTCTAAGTGCACCGCCCATGTCATCGCACAGGAGAAAACGGCAGTATAAAGTTTCACTGATTGTTGAGTCGAGCGGTAGTACAGTGGGCCATATTAGTCTATTCCTACGACATCGAGTGGTAGTACAGTGAGCCGTAATTGTCTACTCCTACGACGTCAAACGGTGACACCCCCATTATGCGGTCTTTCGATAATGGTGCAACTGGGACCGACACTGCACGCAAACATCGGCGATGACATGACAAGCACGACTGAAGCACCCTTTTAACGGTTCGTCTGCCCTTTAAACTATAAAACCTTGACCGGAGCTCCAGCAGCGTAAGTTGAACGCCGGCGTGTAGGAGGCGGACATTCGTCGCGGATATCAGCAGCCTCGTGAACACGTAATTGTTTGGTAATATGGTAATAAAATTGGGTGTTCTACGTTCCTCTGGTCCGTCAAGCTCCTGTGAGCTGCCTGCAACTCTGAGCAACCCGTCCTGGTCAATATTCGGTTCTACTGTCAGAACACTGAAACCTGATAGCAAAGGCTGGCCCGTGCGATTTGTGGCAACCTCTGCCGGGAAGGCTGTTTCTGGACGAATTTGAGCCTATATCACTCTCTGTTATTTATTTACAGGGACGTCAGCGGCCCTGAGAAAGGTGGCTGGTTTATGAAGGCGTGAAAAACGAACCTTGAAATCCAGGCGGTTACTCTCAGGAGCCTGCAGATTCAGCTTTACTTCTCTAAGTCAAGTAGTGGTGTCGCTGGATGCATGGCTTGAGCTGGGACTGCTAACAGCACTACATTATCCGCATGCCCTCCTCACTGACTGTAGCAAGGTATTGCTGCAGAACCTCTGGGTGATGCCCGAACCGCTGAAGCTGACGCTTGAGCCGCGTTTCAGCCACACTTTCGCACACGGTTCGCACACGACGTGTAACCAAGTGTCTTGATCATCAGCGGTACCTCGTAGCGCCCTGCATTCTTGCGTACTGTGCTACGAAAGTGGATGAGTGCTGGGTGCTTGCTGACGTCATCTTGTCCATCAGTGATACCGATGACGTCCAAGCGTCAGATGTCTCATGGGTCTCGAGGTAGGACTACAGTGCACCAGTTGTCAGAACAAGCCAGGAACATGGCAATGGCACTGATGTTACACGAGGACAACCGATGGTTCACGTTAGCGCCCACTTCTTGAATGACCCAGCCAAATATGCTCCAAACTGCGCCCAGAGTGTCGGTGAAACGCTCGACGCACCTAGTCACTACCCTCCAATAGTGGTCTGAGCCGATCAAAACGCTTATTATGGAGTCTTGTTATTGGTCATCTTGAGCTGCATGAGCAAATGCCAGATTGCGGTCGCGCATCATAGCGATAACACTCGGCTCTAACGTGAGACCATTTGCGGTGCAGACCCCTGGCAGCTCCAAAGCTTCAAGATCGACGTCTATAAGCTCCATTCGTCCACAGAGCGTGACATTTATCCTTCGGTACTGGTAATGTTGTGGATGATTTGACCGGCCGAACGTAAAGACGTCCACCTCATTGGTTCTAGTGCAAGATAGACGAAGCTGCTGCAATGTGTCCTTAAGGATGAACGTTTGTTCGCTGCAGGTGTCAAGCAGCAATGACACTGGTACGCACCCACCGGTTCCAAATGCCCAAACTCTGCCTCCTTGGAACAACAAAGACGACGAGCGCATGCTGCTGGCAGGAGCCGTTGTTACGTGCTTTTCTCGCTGTGAGGTCACCTCTAGTGATTCAAATGCAGTCAACTGAGGACAGTCAGCTCCTAGTTGAACACAGATCTCGCACAGGGCCGAGATATGGCGTCTGAATTATCAGTAGCATTAAAGGTAGGGTGAGGTTCAGCAACGGCGAGCTATGTGTCCTTCTTCCCGCATCTGGAGCACCTGCTGTTGCTGGAAAGACGACGCTTTTTGTCTGCCGATAGCGTGACCCGACAATAACACGTCATGTGTTCCGAGATGCCACAGAGGGAACATATAGTCTGTACAGGCCTTGAATATCAACCTGCCAATGATGACCATGCTGTCCGTGCTAATGCCGATGGCAGATAAGGTGGCCTTACGGTGTTTGCAGTATTATTACGGTTCGGCGTTGGGCTCGATGAAGCGGGTTTCTTGCGTGACGCGCCAGTCTCCTCTCTGTTTTCGACTTCAACTTGAAGGAACTTCAGGATTGCCTTCACATGCTCGTCTTGCGACTGGACCACAGAGTCCGTGACATTTGTCTTGGTTTTGATGTGCCTTTAATACTGAATCATCACCCGGTCCTCTGGCAATTAGGGCCCCAGAACCCGTTGCAGAACAACCACGTATTTGGAAGACGGCATACCAAGGCTCTGCATATAGCTGGTCAGGAACTGTATCTGCTCGTACAGGTGCCGCAGCCTTGATACGTGCGATGATTACTCGATTGGCACGATGGCTAATAGGCTGTCGATGTGGTCATCAATGAGGATATCTTTTCGGTCAAACCTTTCTATGAGCACCTTGACTGCGATGCTGTGGTTTGCTTCTATAAGGCGTATTCCTTCAATGACCCGCTTTGCAGTGCCGGATAAGTACGTCTTCAAGTACTTCAACATCTCGATGCCGGTTAGACCGGCGTGCGTGTGATTGGGCGCTTTGTAATGCTCCCAGAACCCCCGCCACTCACGGTTCTCGCCGTTGAAGACGAGCACTTGAAGTTTCGGCAGCGCCACCACTTGCAAGCTTGGTGCGTGTGGCCTACTAAGATTGACAAGAGTTTGGCCGGTAGTATCTGAGCGGGCAGCTTCCATGGAGTGGCTGGATTTGTCACTCGTACCTGCATGCCCCGACTGGTTGGCTTCTAGAACGATAGAGCTGACCGTTGCACGCGTGCTCATCGCAGATCGAAGCCTGCTCATTGCTCTCACAATCTTCTCGTGGTAGTCGAGAGTGCCCTCAACTTCTTCACCAAACTCTTCCCCGTCGAGGGCGTCGGCAATCTGCTTATCCAATTCGGCAAGAGCTGAGTTTTTGTCAACGAGTCCATCGAGAATTTTTTGCCAGTCAGCGGTAGGTGGTAGTGCGTCTCACAGGAGGACCTCGGTGGTTTTGGACAGTAGTCGGGTCATAGCACCGTGAATGATGCCGCGATGTCTACGTAGTTCGTCCAACCTGGGAATGTCTCGATGCTGAGGATGGCGGCCTTCTCCCGGTTTTTCGGTACCAATATGTTGCGACAGAGATGAGACCGACCCCCGCGTTGCCTTGATTTAAAGCTTCGTTCTTCTATCTTTATTGCGTGCTCACGTGCCCCTGCCCAGCGCTCACTTTTTCGGGAGTCTAGTGCGCAGCATAGCGTTTCCCGCGAGCATTCTTGCGTGGTAAACTTAACACTGTATAATTGCTAGGCGTGTTACGGAAGTAAAGCAGTCACGCACAAGTAAGGTCCTGAATAAGTAACAAATAATAGGGAGCTTTCTTTTTCTTACTGCTTTTGGTTCGCTCTTTTATGATCGGCTCCCTTTAATAGAGATACCTCATGCATAATGTTCTCCATGTGCCAAAGTGATATATTCGCATTTTTTTAATTCAATGATTCAGCTGTTTGCTTTTTCATTGTGGTGCCACATAATTTATCAAGGCATCATATCGCCTCACCATTTCGATTCCCGTGAATCATACGGCGTATTGTATGAATTCTGTGGCAAATTTCGAAGTCCACGGGCTCCTGAACGCGCAGGAAAATGTCGCGCAATTTCCGTGTAGATGACCAACTGCTGTCAACGCGCAGCGACGTCAACTAAGCGATGGGCGAAGTGACGCTGCACGCAGCTCGTCTATTGGTCTAAACGAAGTCTCAAGAAACAGTATTGAAGTCAACACCATCAATCACCTAGTTGACGTCAGTGCGCGCCGAGGCAGGTTGGTCATGCGCCAGAAAAACACGTGAGCTTTTCCTGCGCGTTTCATAGCCTGTCGACTAGCCCTTTAAGGCGCCGAAGAGCCGTAGACGGTTCGTATGGAGGTGCTTGTGAAGTATTCACACCTCGGAACAAACTTGCCTGCTTCATTCAAAACTATGGTGCACCTCTGAACAAACTTGCGTGGTTCAATCAAAACTATGGCGGCGTACTTCCGAGAATAAATCTTCCAGCAAGAGACATTGCAACATCTCTGTTGCGAGAAGGGCGCACGTGAGCGCGTACCTTCATCGAGTGGCATATTGCACAAATGACTTTTAGGTTCAACCATTGCCACCATGGGAACTCCAATATCGTTGAGTTAACATAGCAGCCATTTTGCATCGTTCTTCGGATCAATCATAACGACATTTGTGGATGCTTGGTTGATTTGCGCCCACGATAACGGTACGCATCTTCACAGCGCAGTATCACTTGCTCTGCATGCAAATAATATTATGCATGTCCCTCCTGAAATTAGCTTTTTTCGCCAAAGCCAACGTTTGGCCAAAGCTAAGATTGTCGCGCACTCCACCTTGTGAAGTGCACAACATTCCTTGCTTTGGCGAACACTTCACCTGCGCACTTCACCTGGTGAAATGTGTCAGCGATAGAAGTAATTGACTGGGAAATGTCCATATTTTCTACCGGGTGTCCGTGTGTATGCTGTTTTTAAAATAACAACATTCTTTTAGAAAGCTGGTCGTGAGTCGCCATTTTTAGAACTGGTTCGCTGCTTCGGGGAAACCAGAAACAAATGGTTGTCTCTTTAGTGAGCTAAAGTTGTTGTTGTATGTAGGGCAGCATTCTTTGTGCAAGCGTCCACAATTCAGCACACGCAGTTTTCTGTTGTTGCAATATACTGTCGAGACGAGGTCAGAGGAATGGGCGATATTTTCCTTATTTTTTACAGTATATCTGAGTGGCAATACTTTTTCTTACGATTGTTGATGGTTGTGATGGACTTTGCGCATTGAACTAACAATAACAGCGCCGATTTCTTGGCTCTGATGAGAAGGAAATGTTGTATAATGCACCAGTAAAGGCGCATATATGAAGGTATATTGTTCGAGAAGTCTCCTAAAAATGGCATTCTTTTCAAGAAAAAATGTGTTGCAAAACCTTGTTATTTCAGGTTTTACAGCACCAAAATTATCTCCAATTCAAGCCAATATCGAACTGTGAAAAAATCAAGAACACAATGAAAAACTTTCTGTTACATCAGTACACTTTTATCTTCTTGAATGGTGCAGAAATAATTTTCTTACAAAATAAATACCGCCTAAGTCTTTTTCTTGTAACCACGGTGCCACAAAACCATGTTTATTATCCTGTGACGTGATCCACACTCCTTCCTAATGGCGTACCCTCCCTGCTACGCGAACGTGACGACATTCTTTTAGGCACGTGAAATGGCCAGCATACGTCAAGTGATTCTATCGTATTGCAGCAGACCAGTTTCCCAATGTTTGATCTTGCATCAAGTTAACACGCCCATAGCATCAACTTGACAAGAAGCTGCTGGACGCCCGATTTGCAGCTCACAAAACGAATGTCAGTAATTGATAAAGATAGCAACGTGGGCAGCGCCTCCTCCTTTTGGTTCTCAGCGGATGCAGTTTTTTTTAAAGACGATAGTCTTCCTTTGGGACCTTCGACGCAAAATTGTTGGTCTCTCTGTCTGCCCATTTGTCTGTTTGTCCGCCTTAACGGTACCGGGCACTTTAAACAGCATTCGGGTATATCCCGAATGGCCGACCTCATCAGCAGCGCCCATCAATGTTGCCCAATATTTGGCGTTCATACTTGTGCGATTGTCAATTAAAAAGCACTTATTGCGCATATCTGAGGCATCAACACCACGTAAATATTCTGTATGTGCGTCTTTACTATAAAAGGCATACATAAATTATTCTAAAAACCACAGAGTTTATCACGTGGCGCTGACTCTGTAACGCTTGCACAAAAAGGGAAGTGTTTCCAACGCTTTCCTAAGACGACATGGTGGTGGCACCTACCCGTCGCCTTTCGTTCGAGATGTTCCCACCTCTGAGACGGGCATGCACGCCAGACTCAGAGCCGCGCGTTTTGTTTTGCAAGATAGCTGCCAGATAGCACACATATCCCACGTGACGTCACTTGATGCGCTCGTTCACCTCCGCTGCCCGCCCGAGGCACTCTAACGCAGCAACTCCAGAATACCATTCACCAATTTTTCTGCGCGAGACATCAAACAAACGTTCTGTTCGATCTCTCCAGACGCAAGACTATCGTCTTTTGACAACACTTGAAGATTAACATGCCGATACAGGGCCAATATTTTGTTTGTCCCACCATGAATGTCTAGTGGCTAATATACTCGATTGATTGATATATTTGTAGGGCTTAACGTCCCAGAACCACCATATGACTATGAGAGACGCAGTAGTGGAGGACTCCTAGATATTCCGACCACCTGAGGTTCTTTAACATGCACTCAAATCTGAGCCCATGAGCCTACAACATTTCCGCCTCCATAATGGCTAATAAACTCGGTTGCTGAACTGCAGGTCGCGGAATCAAATCGCAGCTGAGGTGGCTGCATTTCCTTTGGAGGGGGGAATGTTGTAGGCCCGTGTGCTCAGATTTGAGCGCACGTACGTTTAAGAACCCCAGGTTCTCAAAATTTCTGGAGCCCTCCACTACGGCATCTCTCACAATCATATAGTGGTGTTGGGACGTGAAACCCCACATATCAATCAAATCAATCCACCAAGCAGTTTTCGCTGTATAGTGTCGAAAAGTTGCGGCGCTTCGAGCTCAGTGTCCTACGATAACTGTACGAATGATTAGCTTGCAGACAGTGATGACCAAACTAACAAGTATTCGACGCCAATACTCAATGTAAACACTGAACAGTAGCAGAGAACACGGCCTCACGATCACGTTCCAATAGTAAGGATGGTTGAATTAACAGTACTATTGTGTTATTCCTAATATCACTCTTAATGGCGAAGAAGGATTATTCTGGAAGCCGAATGATCTCCCTCATTTTCATGAACAGATGTAGGATGTACTTACTTTCGTTCAATATTTCGGACGCCCTTAACCTGCAGGGCTGGAATGACGTCAGTTTTCACGGTTCCCGTCAGATACCGACTCCGAACATCGATGCCTTGGCCGCACATGGCGTCATCCTGGAGCGCCACTATGCGACGCCTGTGTGCTCACCTTCACGTGCTGCTTTCATGACAGCACGCTACCCGTCACGTGTCGGTGAGAAAACAGTACATAATGCTGATCATTTTGTGGGTGTGTGCCTTGTGAGCAGAAAGTAACACGTGTACTAATTGTCATTATTCAGTCTGACAATGCTACTGCTGTGGGCCTCTGTTTCGCAGTTACCATTTCAAACGTTAAGTATTCCAACTTAGATGCCTCGTTAACCTACACTGTTAGAAAAATAAAGCAATGCCTGTGTATGTTACATCAATTCCATTTTATAACATGATCTTAGTTGAAACTGTTAGGACCTAGCTGGTCTAAAAACTGAGGTGCGAACTATGCGCCGTTGGCAACCCTCTGATTTAGCGTTCCGTTAGCTGCTACAGCGCCACGGCGTATCCTACAATCCTTTTTATCCCTATCGTCATTGTACTGTCTATAATGTTTCTCCCATTGCGCCGTTGGGAAGGCTTTTTTTCGTGTACGCACGAATTTTGAATTTTTCATGGTGACTACAGATAAATGACAAATTTTACAATTTGCACCATTTGATTTTGGTACAAATGATTAGGCAATTGACTCATTATGTGGAGAGGTACGTATAGGTCTTGTCGTCGTCCCAGCACTGCTGTTTTTTGTTTTTTTTTTTTTTTTGAGCAGGTGCTTACCTGGTAGACTGACTTCCATGCTTTTTGCCGTCACTGATCTCTGTTTTTAGTAGAGCACGGAGATTTTCTATGCGCAAGTGAAATATTGGCTGATATCGTTCTCCAGACTGGAAGCAGTGTTGCTGGCAGAGTACCATTCAGTTAATTCGAAAATGTCGGGAATGTACAATACTCTGCCAAAATGGGGCCTCTTGCATCGGATGTCTCTTTCATGGAAGCTCTAAATCTTAGCTCGGTAGAGCTTGAGAAGAATTTACAAACATATCTACCTCCCACATCTTGGCCGTACACTCTAAAAAAAGGGAACGAGAATAGAAAAACGGGCTTCGTACGTCCTTCGGCGCAGTGACTTCCTCCCTTTCGGGTGCTTTACCCGTCGAGCCCTCTCCCGGCAAGGACCAAAGGAGCAACGTTCCTTCTTCAGCGTTTAGGTTTCTCCTCAATCACGGGGGTCTGGCGCGCGCGCATGCGCACGCCAAGCCTAGCCGGCAGCAGCTAGTCGCGAGCGATTGCTTTTACCTAAGATTGATATAAGCAATGCAGGAGTGACGTTTTCTTTTGTTTTATTGATGTAGAATAACAGCCTCTCTTTTATCGACAGGCACTCGCACGATGCTCCACACTTGTTCATGTGTGTCTCCTGTTGTTCCATACTACCAATTTGTCACGAATACAAGGAGCTCTACTTCCCAAGCTGTATTGCATTATGAATTACCTTAGAGTGTACGAAAATAATGAATTTTTTCGGTGTCGACATACTTGGTAAGACCACGCATTTTAGTTTCGCACGGCACCAACAGCACTCATGAATTCAATGAGGCGCCTAAAAAACCATCACACTTAATTTTTCAAGATTCTAGGAAACCTGATACCGCTCTACAGCCCATGCATGAAAGCACGATTATATACAATTCATAGAGTTATACGTGCCACTACCGCCATATAGATGTTCTTTGCAGTTTACCCCCATTCGAATGCAGCCGCCGTGGCCGGAAGTCGAACCTGCGTTCTCCAGAGTAGTCACACGACAGGTGAAATCACAATGGGAAACAGGCTGCGAAGTTTCACCAAGCGTTTATTCGCCAGACTAGGTTACAACAATCAGAAACGTTTTAAACATCATCATAAATAAACTTTTGTGAAAAGTGAACCAATAACTTCTGTCGGTTAAACCAAATTCTCAATCACATCCGTTTTGAATTGCCCATGCCAGCACTGGGAAGTCGGACGGAATTATGCACGCGTGCAGTTTGCCTTTCTCGTCCATGATTCTCCTTTGTCGTGAAAAACTCAACACAAAACGCCCTTCTAGTAACAGCTGGGCACAGCAGGTAAGTACTAACGCTCACTCACCTTTGTGAAAAGAGTATTCCAAATCCAGAGTAATAACCAACACAGCCACAGCACTAACAACGAAATTGTGGCACGCACTATGATTGCGAGTTGACACGCAAGGCGAATGGCGAGAGGCATCTGAAGCAGAATAGTATGTAGGCACAACATGCTATAACGTTATTTTAAACTTGCGCACCACAGCGATAGTTCCTCCACTCAAGTAATAGAGCTGTCGTGACGCCAACAGCCACTGCCATAGCTCACGAAAAAATACCATCGGATGCGAGGTCATCTCTTTTTTCCCTCGCAAGACCCGCGTTGTAAAGTACGCATACACTGCTAGGATGGTCGTTACCGCATCAAAAACATTGTCGCTACAGGGCTAGCGGTGTACTGTATCCATGGCTAACGGTCACACTTGTGGTAAGCACGCAAAAAGAATATACGCAAACGTTAACACGAAACAACTAAACGAGGTCGACGTGACCACAGAACACCTACCACGACGGAGACAAAGTTTGGTCTGCATGCTGCGCACTCTCCGAGTAACAAGAAGAAAAATAAAAAACATGACCTCCGAAAAGGCTAGCGCGCGGCGAGTGTTTGCATTCTCGGAAGCTTCAAGAAACAAAAAGTAACTGTAGCAGTGGTTGAGAGATGGCACAGCGTTCGGAATGCCATGGGCATTCTATGCATGGCTTGAGGGTATTCGCTTTCGTGATAAACCAGATAAGCTCTAGTAATTATTCCATTCATTATTGTGCAACCTATTATTAAACTTACGTTTGTCAAAGCATCAGATACAATATTTTTACGTGTACGCATGTTGTGGTATTACCACAATACGTAAAAAAAAGTGTAAGAAAACCTACTTGTAGCTTGTGCCACTATGGTCAGCCGAAATTCATCGCTATATAAGCTTGTGTGCTTTCGTAGTAGTGGGTGAGTAAACATGTCGCAGTGTGTTCCGTTGCTGTGAATGTTTGATTGTGCTCTTGTTGCGTACTTGTTGCGCACTATATGTGTAGTACGTGTGCATGTGTAGCAATATGTATTGCATCAGCACATATTGGACTACCGGTGTCAGTGAGTAATCCTGAATGGGCAGAGGCGTAAACAATCCGGAAGGAAGCCGTGATAGTGGGTATGATAACGTACGTCACCGCAGGCAACTTTTTTAGTGTTGCTCAGTCCCTTCAGATGGCGCCAGCTACCACCTACTTCACGGCTATGACGCTCTCACACTTCCAGCTATTTATATAACGTTGAACATCTATCTATCAAAGCTGCACCACTGAGTCAGAATGGTTTCGCTGCGATCGAATATACGATTTGGAGGCACATCTCGTGACCTGCAGACCCGTAAACGCATGGATAATGTCGCTACACTATGTGAATCTGCGAGGAATAAGTACAGCAAGCCTAGCATGAACTCTTCAGGTGAAGACTCCACAGTATCCGTGTCTTTCGGAGTGAACGTCACTTCGCTGACCGAACAAAACCTGCTTGCTCGGTCGTACTCTTTCACAATGTTTTCATCGTCACAGGTTCGTCGGCTTGTTTTTATAAACATTTCGTTCAATATCAAGCTCAGCGGGACCGTTTTTTCTAACTTTCAGTGCCGTGTACTCCTTATCAGTTGAGAATAGTTGCATTTTCTAAGCCTACTCGCTTCGCATGGGGGTAGCCATGTATATTTTCATACGAGGAACATGTTTCTCCGTGGATGAGGGAGCAACGTTTCTCTATTTAAAGACGACCATTGGGGACATCGCCTTTCCTCCCTAAATGGAGAGAACGTCGCTCCATTTTTTAAGAGTGTACTACTTGATGACTTGATGGTGATGAACAGTCACAAGGCTCCTAATTACGGAAGTAGGAGACCTCGACGAACCTTGCATCTAGCCGTCAATCGAAAAACATAGAGCTTTCTATGGGTGAACTCCGTTTTGGTAAATCGCTACTAATGGTAGTCATCCTTGAAGCAAGTTCCACAGAAGCAGACTCTGTGTACATAGACCTTCCTATTGTGCTAGTGTTATCATTGCGTCCAGCTAAAAACACGTTCTATATTGCAGAGTATTGGAGGTATAGTGCATTCATGACAGGAAAGAGAAGAAGACACATAACACATACACAGCGCTAACTTTCAAAAATGCAGTTTATTACGAGAATCAACAATACACAGAGCCTAACACGCAGCGTAACAAACCATGCGCTAAATCTAGAGATCGTGTATCTTAAGAAAATTATGCAAACCAAATATTCTATTTATTTCACTGATAATGATACAGATGGCTTGCTGTACGTTGCAATTAATCGCGCTTCTATATTGAGCCTTGTCATTTCGATAGTGTTCCTTTCAGTTACACTTGTGCGAAGAAACAGGGGTTGGCGACCCCTGAACAAATTTAATCACCATGATGTGCATCGCTTCACCATTGCGTCCCAGATTTAGCACCAAGAATAATAAAAATTATATTTCACTTGATACAGGCGTTTATTGAAGTACACAGTGACAGGTACGATAGCAGAAACACCTGGCAAAGCGTAGCCAGGGAGCGAACAGCCCAGCGAGCCAGGCGATGGCAATGCGCTTCCGCCTATGTCTAATTTCTTCCTCAAGATAAACCCCGGTATTGAGAGGTAGCCACCTTGGCAATCTAGAGAGAGGTCAGAGGGTCGTAATACGGCTTGAGACGGTTAATGTGGACTGTTTCTCGCCCCCGAAGACGAAGGTCGGAAGATGGCGTAACGGGTTCAACCACATAATTAACAAGAGAGGTCCGCGCAACCACGCGGTAGGGTCCGTGATACTTCGGAAGAAGCTTAGACGAAAGGCCGAGAGCAGCAACTGACGGGACCCGAAGCCACACAATAGAGTCGATGGTGAAAGGGTCAAGAGGGATGTCGGAGTCTAGCCGCTGTTTTTGGCGACACTGTTGGTTGTAGGTGAAAGAACGGGCCAGATGTCGGCATTTTCCGGCGTGGTGAGCCACCGCAGACACAGGTTGGTAGTCGTCAACGTCTGGATGGTATGGTAAAATC